AACATTAAATGCTGAAAAACGGATTACATAAGACATGATAAATTTCATTAAGGTGTACTGTATCGCTCAACATACTTTATGATGCTTACTCACATTTATTTCATGTTATAACTAGCAGTAAAGAGGAAGATCGATGCTTGTAATCTAGCTTGTAAGCCACTGTCTAGCTAGTACGCTAACTGACGTTTACAGTAATGCTCGTCAGTCAAAAACGAATAAAATCTGCCTTTTCTTTTCCTCAAAAATGATAGCACACACTGTGACAATATAGTTTATAAGTAGATCACCAAAAACGTACCTAATCTTGCGGCCACATTTCAAACACGATCTGACTCTGAAGTTCAGTTCGTTGTCTTCTGGTGATGTTTTGTTTAAACCAAACTTCCACCACCTATTGGTGCACTTCCGCCACCTACTGGTCTAGAGTTATTAGAGCACGTAGTGGGATTTAATCCAACAAACTAGATGCTCTTAAGTACTGTTTACTAAAGTTGTTTAGTTTAACTATTGCATCCACCTGAAAGTTCACATAACACAGTGTAATTAAGTAAATTCAACAAATTTGTAAAAATCAGTTATGTTTACTCGCTTTTCTTAAGTAGATTCAGTGATTACTTTTTACAGTGTACTGAGTTTTCATATGTTTTTTCTTATGTGATTCTATATTCCCTCCCCCATGTAGACCCCTGTTGTGGACCCTAGGGCCGTCCAGCTTGGCTCTCTCTTTGTGCAGGGTCTAACCTACCTCATCGCAAGCCAACAGTGCTTGTGGTTTCCCTTTCCCAATGGGTGAGCTCATGCCGTGGAAGACCATTGACGGCCTGCTCTTCCATTCAAAGTATCTGCAAGCCCACTCAGGCTGTCCGAAAGAGGCACTTCTTGAAGGAAATGTAAGTACAGGAAAATGTTGTTGACCTTGTTTATACTTGGTATTAACATCCGTCTTGGATGATCCAGTCTCAAACGGTCAGTTGAGACAGATACTTTAATTTTGTTCTCACCTCAATGTGACTTTTTCGAAGCCACAAAGAGCCTTTGTTTTAGCAAAATGTTTGCTTGACAGGTGAGTGGCCGGTATTTTACTGTTGTCTGGGATGCATCATAATAAATTGGTATTTGTACTAGAAATGCAGTGCATTTCTGACTATCTTTGAATGTGGATTGAACAGTTCACAAAATGTTTTAGCTCCACTTGTGGTCGGATACCAGAGACTTAGGCCCAATCCCAATTCTACCCCTTAGCCCTTCCACTTTCTCGATTCTCTTTTGGTTGGAGGGGTAGGGGAAGGGGAAGGGCCAGACAGCCCTTCAAATGAAGATTTTTCGGGACCACACTTCAAACGAAGGGGTATGAATAATCTCAGCGTAAACCGGCTTCAGGGGCAACATGGCTGCCCGAGCGAACAAAAAGACACATTAATGTAAGCATTTTTGGCATTAATAAAGATTTTAATGAAAAGTAATCATTTGTTTTATGTTACATTCAATCGTGAGTTCATATTTACGGTCATGTTACTCAAAGAAATGTTTGCAAAAAATCGCTAATATTTGTTAAGAGAGAGAGAGAGAGAGAGAGAGAGATGAAAGTTGCATGTATGCACGTCTGTGCGTTTCTCTTTTTAGAGTGAGTTTACATAAAAAAACAGCGATTTTATCCTCTCGTTGCTGGAAAATAGAAGCAATTCAGTATTTAAACTGTTATTAATAAAAGTCGTGGGGCAGCATTGACAAGTTTCTTTTCTCCTGGATGTGTGAGCTGTGTGATCTCTGATATATATATATATATATATATATATATATATATGTGTGTGTGTGTGTGTGTCAGTAAGCAGCGCATTAATATAGAACGGTAATTAAAGGCTCTAACGCACACACCAGCATAGGTGTGTGCATTGTAGGAGCTAGACGACGCATGATGACATGTGACGGCATAGTAGTGGTGTCCCAATTCTTAGGGGAATATTTTCACCCCTACCCCTTGACACTCTGTTTCAAGGGACAAGGGGAAGGGGTAGGTGGAGGGGTAGGGGAAGGGGAAGGGGTATAAAATAGAATTGGGATTGGGCCTTAATATCACGTGTAAACAGAACCTAGCATGATCCTTTTTAAACAAAATATGTGGAATATGTCATGATGAACTATGCAGCTCTACTGAAGCCTATTAACATGCTAAATGAAAATCAGGTCATAGTATGGGCCACACATATTTTGTTTACTGGATTTTGTTTAACTTTTGTTTACATGTCTTTGGTTTACTGGAAAACAGTTACAGAATCTCTTTTGTTTTTGATTGCTTTAATGTTTTTTTTCCCGAAAAGCCAAGGGGACCAAAACATCTAAATAATTTTTTTAACCCACACATATAAACATGGGCTCATAATTATAAATGCAGTCAGGAGCCAAGTCTTCATGGAGGTCTCCATACTGTTAGTCACTATGACCTCTTTTGTATTTATAATGGCCCCAAAAATACCTGAAACACATAATAATGTCTGAATACATCTAACCAAGTGCACATCTGCATTCAAATTCTCTTTTCTCTTTTCTTTTTTTTTTTAAATAAATGCAATTAGATATGACATTCATACATCTTTAAGAGTGTCCTTTCAGGACGACTGGATGGATTTGGTCATTTATAGATGCACATACTGGATTGAGATTTTGAATGTGTCATTGTATATGCATTTAATATCTGTTTTGTCTGTTGTCTTTTAGTCCTCTGGGATGTCTTTGTTCATGTCCGTCACAGAGCTGGTGCTGGAAGCCTGCAGGAGGCGCGGCGTCCCCATCCACAGCCTACAACACAGAGATGGTGCAGATCACTTTAAATTTGCTTATCCCTTTCATATAAAGCACTTTACCTCATACGAATGATTTTTTACATCATTAAATTAAACGTAAATTGTAATGGAGCTGAGAGTAGTTTGACCAGAATAATTTAATAAAAAACAGGCAAGGACTGTTACATTCATAGAAAAGTTTGAATGATAGACGTTTGAATTCTGTGGCGTTTCGCAAGCACTGATTCCTTGTTGACCTGGCTGTGACTCAAATGGAATACATGCTGAGATGCCCAGGCTACTTGCAGATAAACAATAGCCAGCAGTCTTCATAACACCCTCCATCTGGTCTGTGACAGTGGAAACACTCTGTTTGGCCCACTAATGGTGCTTTTCCACTGCGTAGTACAGCTCGGGTCGGTTTGCGTTTTCACTGCAGTTCAGTACCGCTTTAGAGTGGGCGGGATTATTCACATGTCGTTATAGTTGCGCCGCCTGAACTCCTAAAAAACGTTTTCATTCCACGTCGCCCCATCAAGCTCTCGCTGGATCCGCTCCTCTGCTATCAACGAGAAGAACATCTGTACTTCCTCAACAGACCACGAAACAGCCACTTTTTGGTTGTTAAAAAAAGGTGTGCTCGTTCAAAACAGTTGCGTTCGATCCTTCGCTGGCTGTGCTGATTTAAATCTAGCGGTTCTGTTGTGTGTCTGTGTCGTAAGTTCAGTGACGCAGGTAGTGACGATTCTCTCCGGCCAATCAGTGATCAGCAGAGTTTACACGTTTTGGTAACGGTACAGTTAACTTGGAACCTCAACCGAGGTGGTACTAAAAAAAGTACCTGGTACCAGGTACTGTACCCAGTGGAAAATCCCCCAAAAGTGAACCGTACCGAACCGTACCGAACCGTACCGTGCAGTGGAAAAGCGCCATATTTTAGATCGAGGTATGGAAGCCCGTTTCTGCCACTGAATAAAATTTTTTAAAAAAGGTTATTGCGACTTTTTATCTCACAATTCTGACTTTTTCAGAATCTCAGAATTGCATAAACTCACAATTGACTTTTTTCTCAGAATTGCGAGAAAAAAAGTCAAAATTGTGAGAAAAGAAGTCAGAATTGTGAGAAAAAAATTTGAATTGCAAGATATAAACTCGCAATTTCTAGAAAAAAAGTCAGAATTGCGCTGTTTATATCTCACAATTATGACTTTTTAACTCGCAATTGCGAGTTTATGCCACGCAATTCGGAGAAAAAAGTCAGAATTGTGAAATAAAACGCCGCAATTACTTTTTTATTTTTTATTCAGTGGGTTCAACGGGCTTCCATATCGAGGTGATGTTTTGTCATAACAAAAATAATTCTGGGTTACTTTTTATAGGTTGCAATCTATATTAAGTAACATAACAAGACAACAAAATTATAACGTGGTGACTGTTGCAAACTCCTTGAGCTCCTTTTGCTTTTTACCGCCATCCAGAGTTTTGTGGTTCTGTCCTAAGATTAAAAGAGACCTTATGGTGAAATTGTCTCCATCTGGTTTCCCTCTTGATGTCGACCAGCTCATGAACTGCTCATGTTGTGTCTTAGAGGCAAATAGGCTGCTTTTTGTCATCAGTTATTTTAGTCCGATTATGGGAGAGTGGCCCAGTGCCTGTGTTTTGAATCTCAAGATTTGTCCTGTTAGATTGATGTTCTTTTGTTTAGAGTTGTTTTTTGGTCGGCTGGAATTCCAGCTAGTTTATTTTGTCGTATGCTGTTCTGAGCATCTGTTGTGCACAACATGTTTTCTAACTTCAAAACAATCTGAACACTCGACTGTGGGATTTTGTAAGAAATGCTCGTTAGCCCTTTCAAAACATGGTATGGAACTCCTAAAAGATTTTGTATTCGTCAGTGAAAGGTTGTGCCAAAATTTGAGCCATGTTTAAATTGTGATTTTGTATTTTATAAATGAGAAAAATAATTCAATTATACATATTTATATATATGCAATGAAAAATATGGTCCTCACGTGGACTAACAATGAGCAGTTGTATTTTTATTAACTAACATTGACAAAGATCTCAAAAAAATCTAAAAAAGAAACTAAATCCTGTCATCGCTCAATTGCCCTGAAAACCAAAACTAGACAGTTTGACTTTCTTTTCTCATTTCTGTTCTGCTTCCTAAACTTTGCCTCTTTTCCCTGAAGTTAATTCACCCCATTATTTCTCTGTCACTAAAAGGATTGTTTTGAATCTCAGAAGGTCTAAAGTGTCAATTGCAAGAGGCTGTCGGGGGTAGACATATAAAAAAAAGTCTGGTTGTAATTTATGTGCGTTTGAGGCAGTAATCATTGCCTCGGTCTTTTGGGGACGTGGTGGTGAAGTTCAGGCTTCAGAATTGTACGTTTTATGTTTCCAGTGATGCCCCACTGCAAATACTAATTGTGAGAGAGTCAAACCTCCAATTTAAACTGCATTTAAATGCTTCTTTTATTGCCATAGCGAGACCCGTGGAGGCTGATGATCTGCTTCGAGAAAGAGGACACCAGCTCCATCACAGCACACGGCAGGAGTTCAGACAGCAGCCCAGAGCTTCAGCACACTACCAGCACGGTATACCACAGTACACAAGACGAACGCTGGCATAAACACAGTTAGGCATATAAGAAAAGATCAAAGCTTGTATGGTTTGTTTGATATTTTATATTTTGTCTATTTGGAGTTTTAAAGCTGTAATAAAAGCATAACATCTTCCATAGGTTATAGACCAAGACATCCAAAGAGAGGAAGGTATCACCTCGCACCACGGTGAGCTCTGTGCTTTAAACATAACCCAATATCTATCTATCTATCTATCTATCTATCTGTCTGTCTGTCTGTCTGTCTGTATCTGTCTGTCTTTCGTCTGTATCTGTCTGTCTTTCATCTCTGTCTGTCTGTCTCTATCTGTCTGTCTGTCTGTATCTGTCTGTCTTTCGTCTGTATCTGTCTGTCTTTCATCTCTGTCTGTCTGTCTCTATCTGTCTGTCTGTCTGTATCTGTCTGTCTTTCGTCTGTATCTGTCTGTCTTTCATCTCTGTCTGTCTGTCTCTATCTGTCTGTCTGTCTGTATCTGTCTGTCTTTCGTCTGTATCTGTCTGTCTTTCATCTCTGTCTGTCTGTCTCTATCTGTCTGTCTGTCTGTATCTGTCTGTCTTTCGTCTGTATCTGTCTGTCTTTCATCTCTGTCTGTCTGTCTCTATCTGTCTGTCTGTCTGTATCTGTCTATCTGTCTGTCTGTCTTTCTGTGTCTGTCTGTATCTGTCTGTCTCTATCTGTCTGTCTGTCTGTATTTCTGTCTGTGTGTGTGTGTGTGTGTGTGTGTGTGTGTGTCTGTCTGTCTGTCTCTGTCTGTCTGTCTCTATCTGTCTGTCTGTCTGTCTGTCTGTATCTGTCTGTCTTTCGTCTGTATCTGTCTGTCTTTCATCTCTGTCTGTCTGTCTCTATCTGTCTGTCTGTCTGTCTGTCTGTATCTGTCTGTCTTTCGTCTGTATCTGTCTGTCTTTCATCTCTGTCTGTCTGTCTCTATCTGTCTGTCTGTCTGTCTGTCTGTATCTGTCTGTCTTTCGTCTGTATCTGTCTGTCTTTCATCTCTGTCTGTCTGTCTCTATCTGTCTGTCTGTCTGTATCTGTCTGTCTGTCTGTATCTGTCTGTCTGTCTTTCTCTGTGTGTGTGTGTGTGTGTGTGTGTGTCTGTCTGTATCTGTCTGTCTGTCTGTCTTTTGTCTGTATCTGTCTTTCTGTATCTGTCTGTCTGTCTTTCTCTGTGTGTGTGTGTGTGTGTGTGTCTGTCTGTATCTGTCTGTCTGTCTGTCTGTCTTTTGTCTGTATCTGTCTTTCTGTATCTGTCTGTCTGTATCTGTCTGTCTGTCTGTCTTTCTGTATCTGTCTGTCTGTCTGCCTGTCTGTCTGTCTGTGTCTGTCTGTCTGTCTATATCTGTCTGTCTGTCTGTCTGTCTGTCTATATCTGTCTGTCTGTCT